GGGATGAGGATCAGTGCCTCCAAATCCCAGACCATGGTCTTGAGCCGGAAAAGGGTAGGGTGCCTTCTCCAGGTCAGGGAGGAGGTCCTGCCCCAAGTGGAGGAGTTTAAGTTTCTCAGGGTCTTGTTCACAAAATGTGTTGAACGGCTGAAATGAGTTTCCTCTGCAGGGTGTCTGGGCTCTCCCTTAGAGATAAGCTGAGAAGCTCAGTCATCCAGGAGGGACTCAGAGTAGAGCCGCTGCTCCTCCACGTCCAGAGGAGCCAGTTGAGGTGGTTCATCTGGTTAGGATGCCTCCTGGACTCCTCCCTGGTGAGGTGTTCTGGACACGTCCCACTGGGAAGAGACCCAGAGGAGCTGGTCCAAGTGTCTGGAGAGAGGGAAGTCTGGGTCTCTGCTTAGACTGCTGCCCCTGAGACCTGACCCCGGATAAGTCATCTAAGTTAAACTAAACTAAACTAAACTAAACTAAACTAAACTAAACTAAACTAAACTAAACTAAACCAAACTGAACAATGCTAAATTAAAGTTCATTAATTAATTAACTTATATTAGCTAAACTAAAGTAAAGTAAACTTGCAGCTCACTGGTTTCTGTTTATGTCTCTTGTTTCCATGTTTGTGTTTTACAGCCTGACGTCCAGCTATGGACTGAAAGAGGAGGAGCTTAGCTGTTTGTCTGCAGGTAGCACACACCTGTAACACATACACCTGTAACATACACACCTGTAACACACACACCTGTAAAACACACACCTGTAACACACACACCTGTAACATGCACACCGATAACATACACCTGTAACACACACACCTGTAACATGCACACACCTGTAACATGCACACCTGTAACATACACCTGTAACACACAACTGTAACATACACACCTGTAACACACACACCTGTAACATGCACACCGATAACATACACCTGTAACACACACACCTGTAACACACACACACCTGTAACATGCACACCTGTAACATACACCTGTAACACACAACTGTAACATACACACCTGTAACACACACACCTGTAACATGCACACCTGTAACACACACACCTGTAGCATGCACACCTGTAACATACGCCTGTAACACACACCTGTAACACACACCTGTAACATACACACCTGTAACATACACACCTGTGACACACATCTGTAACTTACACACCTGTAACATGCACACCTGTAACACACACCTGTAACATGCACACCTGTAACACACACCTGTAACATACACACCTGTAACATACACACCTGTGACACACATCTGTAACTTACACACCTGTAACATACACACCTGTAACACACACACCTGTAACATGCACACCTGTAACACACACCTGTAACATACACACCTGTAACA